TTAAACTTTCAATACTCACCAATATAATCCAACATTTCTGAACAGCTACTTTCCTCTAAACGTAATTCCCAGTGAAACTGAGTTTTCAAATTCCAACTCTTCTGGGGAATTTATTTGCACAGATTAGAAGTACACAGCTGAATGGGAAGGGAATAAAATACGAATGGCACCCCCTGCAGTTGTGCAGTGTTGCAGCCCTGGTTTGGGTTCATCAAATGGCAGTATTTCCTACCAGTACCTGTCCTGGTTTGACATGACAGGTAAAGGCTTGACATCTTTACCTGCAGTTGTCAAATTACTACTTGACCTATAAATATCAAATGAATAAAACCCACCAAACTCAATCCTTAGTTACAAAAAATATCCATTTAGAACATAGCATATAAGGTAGTGAATAAGCCTTAACAGCAATAAAACAAGTCTCACTTCCTCTTCAAAATTTTTATTGTATTATTTTTGTAAATTTCTGGTAGAGTGAACTAAAGGTTATACGTAGTATTCAGAGGTTAAAGAAGGGCAGGGATATAGGAATACTGGTGGTACAGGTGGTTATGGTGTCTATTTAGATCATAGTCTAAATATCTGTAAAATCACCTGCAATACTGCTGTGCAAATCAAAACATGGGCACTGTGATCATTAACAGGCAGCAACTGCTTGAGAACTTCATCCAGCCTCTGTGGCTTTACTGGGAGCCTGGGAGAGGTGCTCACGGCACATTCTATCAGCTTCCTAAGAAGCATCTCAGGCAGCAACGTGATGCTACCATATGGCAGGTAGACACAGCTCTCACAGCCGTTAGCCTCTGGTTTCGACCTTGGCTGCACATCAGAATCACCTCGTAAAGTTTTAAAAAGTGATGTCTAGGTTCTGGTCTGGTACAGCTGAAACTGAATGTCTGCAGGTGAGGCCTATAAACTGGCATTTTAAAAATGCACCAGGTGATTCCAATGTAGAGTGAAGGCTGAGAATCACTGAGTTAGCCACTTAAAAGGCACCAACTGTGCTTCTGACTTTCTGCCTGACGCTCTGTAATAACAGACTAACAACAGAAAAACAAACAAGTTTATTAAGGTGCATATCTCATATTTACCTGGGAGATACCCAGGGAAAATGCAACTCTCAGAGGTAGCTTAGAACTCTGGCTTCAATATCATCTTCGCTAAAGTCAGAAGAAAGGTGTGTGTGAAGGGGAGAGGCTAGGGATGAAGGTGAAAAGCACAGTGTAAACAAGGGCAAGTTTTCCCTTGCAGATTTCAGTCCCAGCCTTCCCCTCTAAGAGTCTAAAGCTGTCCCTTTAACAACCTTTGTCCTTCCTGGTAGAGAGCGAAAGAAGACCTTTGTAAATTTGTGTCCTGCTTTAGGCAAACTTCCTGAAGCCAATGCTTAGTCCTTCGGTCAGGTCCTTTGCAACCCCAAGAACTGTAGCACACCAGGGATTCTCCAGGCAAGAATACTGGAGTGGGCTGCGATTTTCTTCTCCAGGGGATCTTCCAGACCTAGGGATCAAACCTGCTTCTCCTGCATCTCTTGCATAGGGAGGTGGATTCTTTACCGCTGAGCCACCTGGGAAGCCCTTCAGGCAAATTGAGGGAGGGCAAAGAGATTTTCTTGTGTCTGCCTCTTTACAGTTGCCTTCAGCTCCAAATACTTTTTAGGCCAAAGTGTCATATTTTGTGGTGGCATATTCTGCCACCCTTCATACACAATGGAACATTGTGAAAATGAAGGCGTGTGACCGTGTCATAATAGATGTTGTGGGTTCTGCCATGCTCTCGCTCAGACTGCTCTATGTGGGGGAAGCCAGTACCAGGTCATGAGGGCACTACACGACCCCACGGAGACGTCCATGTGGCAGGGAACTGGGGCCGCCTGCCAACTGCCAGCATCAACCTGCCAGCCAGGTTGAGTCCACCATTTTGGAGGTGGCTCCTCCTTCAAACCACTGCAAACCCAGCTGACAGCTGGACTCCCAAGTTCAAGACAGCCAGAATCACCCTGCTAAGCTGCCCTGGAATTCCTGACCCTCAGAAGCTCTGTATTGTTTTCTTAACGTGCTAAATTTGGGCGTAATCTTATATACCCATAGAAAACTAATCAAGCCATTGTGTTTCCTTGGCATCTACAATATTTAATAGGGCAATGCCTTTATTTCAGAACTATAGCCAAAGAATTTTTAAAACCATGAAGGGGCCACAGCCATGTTTGCACTGGATAGGGAATTTTCTATTCCTGGTTAGCAAACTTTAATTCCTTCTATTCAACTTCTCTCAAGTTCAGAGGGTTCTTCTCTTAAGTACAACAGAGTCACTCCTTCCTTAACATTCCCATCACCAACCTCTATCCTTTTCTTCAGGCTGATTACTATGCTGATTCCCTAGTTCTCGCTTTCTAATTGGAGTTTTCTTCAGTTTGTCTTGAATGACTGATTTTCTCAAGTACTGGTTGAAAAATTGATAATGGTACCACTCAAAAATGAGGTAACTGGGGGAGGAAGGAGGAGCTGGTTTCACGAGCAAAGGGATGACAGAGAGTTCAAGTTTTAGCCATGCTACAGCAGAGATGCCTGGGGACAGGATGTTTAGGTTTCCTCTCAAGGCTGATTTGTGAGCAGAGGCACAGACAGAGGGAGGTCTGAGGGGATGAAAGCAAAAAAAGTAGAGTGGTTCTTGGCTTAAAACCTAAGGTCATTTCTGATTCAATTCTCATCTTTGCCAAGGTCTATCAGCATCTGCAGAAACATCTCGTGAATTCCCATGGCCATTACTGTAGTCAAGACTATTGCTCGTGCTAATTGGGAAGATCAAGTGACTGGATATGTGAGCAAGTGTGAACAGCAATAATCAAGAGAATTGAGCATATAATCAAATTAAAATACTCCACAAAATTAACCTGACATACTCAATGACATATTATTGTTTTTATGCTGCCTATTTAGGCAGATATATAATCAGTTCCATAAATTATTATATCTGTTATTTTAGAGCCAAACTCAATTTTACGGTTTTCTCTTAGCAGCGGTGAAGTTTTCCCCATGCTATACGCATTTTAACATTTATCACATACATTATAATGCTGTCATTGCTTTATTATGGGTTTTATGATCATCCCAACTGGTAGTAAACTTTCTATCGTCTCTACTCCCCTATCATTTTTTTATTGTGAAACAATAAAGTTAAATTTACATATGGTGAAATGTACAGATCTTAAAAATGATGTACACCTTGTAACCACCACCCCAAGCAACCAACCATCAAGTAACAAACATGACTCCAGAAAGTTCTCTCCAAAAAATCACTCTCTCCCTAGGCTACCATTGCTCAGATTTCTATCACCACAAATAGTTCTGTCTTTGAACTTCGTATAGATGGAATTATACAGTTCATACTTTATGTGTCCAATTTCTTTCACTCAATGTTTTTGTTATGTATCTCGCTGCATTTATCAGTGGTTCTTTTCTTTACTCTTACTGCCCAGTCATATTCCATTGCCGTATCATTTACATGTCCATTTTTATGGCATTTAGCCTATCTACCAAGGATTGCCGGGTTAAGTAGAGTGTCTTACACATTGCTGGTGCTCAGTAAACACTAGTCAAGTGGACAAATACATATGCCTCCTCAAAATCACAGATAGAATTACATACACATACATCCTCTGTAAGGTAGGTCCTAGGTCTGACTCCCCAGTTATGGCTTTCTCCAATGTCTACCCATAAACTCCACTGGACTCTGGGCAAGAGATCCTTAACAAAATGTACCAGTCACTCCTTGTTCCATATCTGGAACAAACAAAAGCAATAAGAGTGCTAAATATGTGCTAGGCACTGGTCTAAGCATTTCATATGAATTAACTTATGTAATCCTCAGAACCACTTTGACAAAGGTGCTGTTATTTTCCCCACTTCTCAGATGAGAAAATTAGGGCAAAGAGAATACATAATTTGTCTGGAGCCATAGGTAGAAAAAAGTAGAACTTAGATGCAAAATCATGCTCAGGAAGTCTACCTCCAGCACTTACACTACTAGCACTTAACATGCCCTGCAGCTGAAATTCTCTACCAAGAAAACGGGGAGAGCTGGCTGGAGGTAACAAGCACCACAGCTCAGGTGCAGAACAAAGGAAGATGCCAAAATCATCCCAAGATATACGTTGTCTTTGAACCTTGGGAGACCGACAACCAGCTTTCTTAGGGGCTCCCAGTCCTTTTATCTCTCCTAAGCCCAGCAGCCCTCACCTGGGAACCTGTCCTTCAGAAGCTGCAGTTCATCTTGCCCAAACTCAGTCTCATTAAACCATAAACCAAGTCAATCATCACAGAAGCTGTATCATTCAACAGAGCCTGGACAAACAAGAAGCTGTGTACTTAACCATAAGCTCCAAGAGTCAGTCCATCTAATGCTCAGAGAAAATGGGTGGTCCAGGTGAACCCCTCAAGTGACCTTGGGCAAATTATCTCACTTCGCTGGATTTCACTCTTCTCCATTATAAGACTAAAGATAACCTATAAGGTTCTTTTGATTCTAAAGTGCTATGATTCTTTTCTCACTGAAGGAAAGTTACAAACCCATCTTTAACCAAGGTTGCCAAACTAATCCTCTAAACACTCTTTTCTTCATCTCTCTCCCTTAGTGAAGAATCCAAAATGACTCCCTAAAGCCTCTTACATAATCTTTTATTTCTCGTCAAGTTTGCAAGACATCTGTGAAAAGATTCCCAGGGATCTACCCATTCCCAGCTATTATCCATCACAGTTCTGTTCCGTTCAGGCTGGTCTCCCCATCGTCTCCTTTTCACACGACACAATTTCCACCTTTTGAGCTTTTGGTCTTGTTACCGCCTACCACAGATCCAGCCATAAATAGTAAGTTCTCCCTCCCAGGTCTAAGTCCAAGGTCTTCAATGAGGTCACGATTCTTTTTTTCAGGAAACTTTTCCTGATTTTTGCTGTTTGTCCTCTTCTTCATTGGTAGGAATGGAGTAAATCTTTGTAAGATGAGAGATGCTGCGAAAGAGCCAAAACTCCTGCGGAAATCGTTCCATTCAGCCGGTGCCAAGCCGGCACTTCCGGCAAGAACCAGATACTAGCTGGCCCCTTGTGTCCTCAAACCACCCAGCCCTGTCTGTGGCACAGACCCCCCCTCACCCACCGACCGGGCCGCGGGGAACTGGGGGGCGCCGAGGCACCAGGTGTGTGAAGCCGTCGGGTGACGCAGCACCGGGGACCGGCCGCCTCCGCCAGAAGGGCGGCTCCCCAGCCCGTTTCCGAACGCCTGAGCCTCCCTACCCCTCGACGTCCAGGCTCAGGCCGGCCGCGGCCGAGGCCTCCTCCCTGACCCTCCCCACCCCACCGACAGGTCCCACAGCCCCCGCCCAGCCCGCCCGCCGGCACCGGGGGCGGGGGCTGGGGTCGGGCGGCCGGAGGCGCAGGGCACCGGCGCGGCCCCAGGAGTGTCGCGAGCGGGGGCAAGCGTCACTCACCGCAGCCGGACACCAGCACCAAGAAGCCGGGCTGCCTGTGCAGGACCAGCGAGGGGACGGGCGCGACAGCTGCGGCGCCAGCACTTCCTGCCTCAGGAGGCGGACCGGAAGTCTCACCGGAAGGCGCGGCGGACCCAACTCCGGGAGCGGGGGTGCGCCGCCGTTCTCGCTCCCGTCGCGGCCGACTTCGCCTTGTCAGCCCCGGCGCGGGGCTGGAGCCGACCATCGCAGCCTGGGTTTTCGCTGTGCCTCGCGGGCCGTGAGGTCCGGAGCGGGCATGGCGCGGCCGGGGCCCCGCGGCCCGCCCTCCTCCCCCGCCGTAGGCAGCGGGTTCCGCGGCCCTTCCATATTCCCGGGCCGGCGCGAGCCCTAGGTTTGGGGGTCGCAGGGCGCCGCCCACCCAGGATTGTCACTTGGCATTTAAAAGTACACCTCGCCTGGTTACATTTGAGTTTCAGATAAAACGAGCAGTTTTTCAGGTTCCGTCCCACGTCACACTGGGGAAGGTTAAGAGGGCGGCGGCCGGTGGTGTCCGCCTGCAGGAAAGCCCTTTCTTTACAAACTGCAGGCCCAGACCGAGTTCTATCATCTCCGCTCCTGTCTTAATCCGCACGTTATCTATCAGGTGTACGCCCTGACCAGGACAGTTTCTCCTTTCAACCACCGGAAAGCTTTGTTCATGTTATTTGCTTTCCTTTGATTCACTATAGTACAAACTTACAGACAACACATACAAGCGCACACGTTATCATACCATGCTCTTGGTCAAAACAAAGGACACCACCAAAATGCATTACTCCAGTTTTGTCCTAGCCTTCATATTCCTTCAACCTTGGGATATTATTAAAGTCACTCAGTCATATCCGACTCTTTGTGACTCCATGGACTGTAGCCCGCCAGGCTCCTCTGTCCATGGGATTTCTCAGGCAAGAATACTGGAGTGGGTAGCCGTTCCCTTCTCCAGGGGATCTTCCTGATCCAGGAATCGAACCGAGTCTTCTGCATTGCAGGCTGATTCTTTACAGTTGAACTACCAGGGAAGCTCTTGGAATATCATAGACGGATAAAACTATTTCTGGATAAAGGGAGATAGAGGGCAACCCTTTGTGGAGCACTGTTGCCTCAACGTGTGCTGGATGCTAGGGAGAACAATCGAGTTTTTTATATTCTAGGAAACTGATTAAGAAATCGAGGAATCTTTGATTAGAAATTCCTAGGTTGTAGGAACCTTGTGTTCAGCACTCTATACCAGTTGTTCTTAAAACAGTAGCACCAATAAGAAAAACCTGTGGGCTTTCTAAAAAAGCCCAACACCCCCCCACCCCCGGCGCAGATTCAGGTCAAGGGTAGGGCAAGAATCTGCATTCCTAGTAATCACCCAGCATCCTCCCTGGAGTGGCACTGACCCCAGGTCCTTAATTGAATGCATTTTCTCTAGAGCCTGAAACCAATTGCTGAGAGGTCACATCTGGTTCTAAAATTTCTCTCAGCTGCAGTCTCCCCTTTGGTTCAATAATTAAATTTTTTCCCATTCATCATAACATTTTGGCTTCTGAGGTCTTTGTCATAGAGCTCTTCTAGTGTGGGCTATTAACCATCCCATAAATCCTCACCCTGGCCACCTTAATTAAGATCATAGCTGAGATACCCTGACTACTGTCTTTGATCTCCATATCTGTTTCTAGAACTGGTCACTAACCACGTGTGGCTATTTAAATGTAAATTTAAAAATTCAGTTACTTGAGACACATTTTAACTGCCCAATAGTCACATGTGACCTAGTATCCTTATTGGACAGCACAGAGCATTTCCATCATCACAAAAAAATATATATATATATAAAATAATGAAAAGTTGAGTAAGTATCCAGTGCTTGGGAAACGGTTAATTATGGCATACCCTTATCAAAAATAATTGTTTATTGTTGCCATTAAAAACAATGGTTTAAAAATAGGTAGTACACTTAAAACAAAAATGGTGGGTATGCCAAAATATGACCATTTAAGATACATTAAACTAAAAAACAAGTTGTGTATTTACGACAGCTATAAAATGTATGTAGATTAATATAGAAGTTATGATGCCTGTTATTTGAGCAGTCACACAGAAACCTAGGATAAAAAGATACAGGGACTTGGGAAAACTGGCTGTTGAAAGAGGAGCTCCAGCAATACTTTTCAGGACAGCAAAGATAAAAACCAGGGTTGCAGGGAAATCAAGAACTTGTACACTTAAAGAGGACCTAGAAAGATACAAACAATTCTGACAAACTGGACCTACTTGGAAATCTAAAGTAAACTGTTTAAGGACATACTCTATACCACACATTTTTATGTATATTCTCATTAAATACTAATAACAACTCTTCAATAAAATTCTATTTTAAAATAAAATATTTCTATTTATTTTAAAATAAATTCTATTTGAGATAATTTACTATCAAACCACTGTAGACTACTAACCTCAGCCTTTTAATCTCCAAATATGATTAACTCCTGTTACCTACCCTTTGCTGTTTTCAGAGGGAGCACTATCCATTTTTATTTTTCTAAGAATAATCCTACAACATGTGATCTAGGTTCTCTTTCTGTTAGACATCACTCCTTTGGTTTCATTTACTTTTTCGCTAAAGAAATGCCCTGTGGTCCTGCCTTCCCTATAAGCCTCTCCCACTGCCAAACAGCTCCTGCTGGTAAACAGAATAACCACAATCTGAATAACTACTGGATGCCAGACCATTTAGCTTTACTGTTTCTACTTTTACTACAAACATAGAGGGTACTGTTCCTGTTAAACAGGTGAGGAAACTGACACTTATGGTGACCTGCCCAAGGACACAAAGCTCATCAAATAACAGACTGGCAGAATTCACTCAGCCAAGTCTGACTCTAAAACCCATACTGCTCCTAATCACAAAAATGCTGCTTTATATATTCATAGATTATGTTCCTATTATGAACCAAGAGCATTACTTCCATTTTACAAATGAACAGAGGTTGAGGGGGTCAGATAACTTTCTTAAGGTTATAAAGCCATGATGGAGCACGAACAATGTTAAAATGCAGCTGGACTGAACCCAAAACCTAGACACTGTCCCTGTCTCCTGCTACATTGAATTCTGCACTCAAAACTCTATCTAACAGCTCTAGCAGAAGTGACTGACTTGCCAAATCTAGTGGCCTCCTTTAAACTCTGCCATATTCGATTTTTCTGTGGCTTAACACTATTGACTAACCTCCTCACTCTTCCAATTATTCACCTGGTTTCCATCACACTGTGTTTGTGGCTTTATCTACTGTCCAAGCCCCTTTCAACATCTATCTGATCCTCCTTACAACTTGCCAGCATACCCTATAGTCTAGTTATAACTCTTGTGGTTCTTTCTCTCCTCATTCCTTGTAAAAAATGGTTGCCTTTCCTTTTCATAATTTGCTTTCACTTGTCTCGTAAAGGCAGGCCTGTTCCTGTTTCTTCCAGCAGCACTCATAAACTGCTGCTCTCAACCAGGCATAGAGGCTCTTTAATCAAGTAAAGTCAGGGCCCTGGAGTCGGCATGACACTGTCATCATAAGCAATTGGGTAAGGAGGCTGCCCCCATTAGGCTGGTTTCATCAGAAGTTTTGCAGTGGTTTGCTTTAAGTATGGCTTTTCATCATGGAGGCTGGTTTTTATAACAAATGCACTCCCTGTTGGAGTACACGCTTTAGCGTTTTACTGGCAATCATCTTAATTATGCAAAGCCTACTTTCCACATAGAGAATGCTGTTACTAAATGAGAATTTCATTCAGGGGAGACCATCCACTGTTTCTAATGGTGGCTGGTTCTTTGAACAGTTATTTGAAATGGAGACACTGCAAGAGATCATTTCAGTAGATGAGGCCACTTTTTTCCCTCCCAGTATGGGAACAATGTTATTTGTTCTTCACTGGAAATTTGTTAACAAAGCAGAAGTGATTTTTTTTTCCAGTTGAAATGTAAATTCAGTTCAACAAACAAAATTTCAGCATCATGGCTATAGCCTGAAAAAAGTACTTTGCTTATTTAAACCATTGATGAAATTCAGGAACACTCTAAATGCAAGAGTTAAGGCAGGTACTAAGAGCCTAATATTAAAAGGCGCAAGGAGCAGTCTCATCACTGGTCCTTCCACCCCTGTTCTTATAAAGCTGGCCTCATGATGTAAAAGAATCCAGCTCACCTATTCTTTTGTGTGTGAAGGTATTATGCCCTAAAGGCATTCAGTAACTGCATGTTCACTGAGGTAATAGTTTTGTCCAAGGATAGTCTTGTTATTAGTAGTATAAAATTAGGAGTAACAGTTCATTATTCATCTTCATAGCCTAATTATCCATCCACTCTTCCCACCTAACTTTCCCCCAGTGTTTCAAGATCTTTCTTAAACTCACGAATCTTCAAGAGTCAGATTTTTGAAGCCCAAAGTAAATGAAACTGTCTACCATTTCCTGATTAACTCTGAAAACAGTCCTGCATTCCTGCAAATAGCAGAAGTTATTTTTAGGATTGAAATAATGATCTCACTTTCCCAGGCATGTAGCTTCAGCTGTTCTGACTGTGGGCAGGTCAGGAATGTCAAAGACTTGTCCATGAACTCATGTGAATCTCTGCATAAATAAACACGGTGTTTCAATAGGGACCGTGTGTTAAAAAGAAACTACATACAGAAAAAAAAAAATAGTCTATTTTCAACACTTTGAAATATAATACAGAAAAATCTACCTTTTTGATAAAAGCATTCCATAGAACCTTTGGGGGCTAAAACAGTTTTAAAAATTAGGACAAAGTAAAATTGCACTCAGTGGCCTGGTCTAGTTTTAAACGACATGAAGGAATGTACAAAAAGCTTAGAACAGATTTGGAGGGATGCTGGCAGGTTCAATATTGAATTTTAGGATTTAAAGCTACCAAAGCTATCATAGATGTATATCTATGCAAATTCTACAGGAAATTATTTTAAAATGCAAAGTGCAGAAACTCCATAAAGGCAGTTAAAAATTGGATTATTTTTTAAAAGGGGGGAAGACTGAATAAAGTAAATAGAACTGTTAGGAAACCTGGAAGGAGTAAAGGGTAAGTATAACCACCATATATATAATTTTCTAGGATGTGCCTTACTACCCTTCTTTAGATAATGCACCAAGACCAATAAAAGTCAATTTTGGTAAATAAAAAAGTTTTAAACAAATAAGTTTTTATCATAAAGTTTAATTATGGTTCAGAAAAAATTGAGTGAATAACCTTCTCTGAAAAAATATATCGACTCTGTAGACTGCAGTTACTGGGGGCGGGGAGGGTAGACGGCAGCTGGTAAGTTAAATTACCCTATTTTCTATTCTTAAAATGACAAGAAGTCCCACATCCAGTCTGATTATAGAGATGCATGTGCCCCAAATGGCTGAGAATAAATACAACAAGAAAGGCGGAAGCTGTAAAGCTAAGGGCATGCAATAGGCTCTAAGAGAAAGTCTCAGAAATACCCAGAGTGGCAACAAGGAACGTTTGGCTGGAATTTGAAGTTCTTTTTAGTCGTCTTTGTCTTTCGCTCCATGCTTAAGGATGCGCGTGAACTCGATGTAATTGAAATTCCCCTTTTTGTCAATAGGTGCTTCTCTGTACAGCTCGTCCACTTCCTCATCTGTAAACCGGTCTCCCATTGTGGTCAGCAGTTCTCTCAGGTAATCCTCCTGAATGGTGCCTGAAGAATAAAGAAACGGAGATCACAAGAGACACTCCCTGAGGAATAATTACAAGGAGCATCTACACTTGACTAAGCACAGGGTTTACGTTAAGGACTATAAGCATGCAAATGTATGAAATATAGTCTTGACATGACTAAGCCAGCCTCAGCACAGCTGCCTAGAAAATGCTCTGTTGCTTAGTGATATCAACCTTCTCTGCTCTACTGACCTCACCGACAACAACCTCCCAATCTCTTGGTAACAACAGCTAATCCTATGCCTAACCAGACGCCATGAAGTATGATGCTTCCTCAACATACCATGTGTGATCACTTCTATAAGCAAATACACTAAAATCATCATTGTTCTTATTTAGGCATTAAGTCGTGTCCAACCCTTTTGCAACCCCATGGAATGTAGCCCTCCCTCTGTCCATGGGATTTCCCAGGCAGGAATACTGGAGTGGGTTGCCATTTCCTTCTCCAGGGAATCTTCCAGACCTAGAGATCAAACCCACGACTCCTGCTTGGCAGGTGCATTCTTTACCACCTGGGAAGCCCTAAAATCATCATAAACATTGGTAAAATGCTTCAGTGGAAAGAATACTGAAGTTGTGAGGTCCGGTTTTAACAAGGTATGTTACTTCAGGCACTTCACTTTACCTTTTTAAAACACGCAAAATGAGATTAAAAAAATTTTAATGAACAAGTCTACTTTTAGATTCAGTAACAAATATGGTTAGGCCCAGTGCAGAACCACCGAGTAGACAGTTGAGCATTAACTATGTCACAGACGCTGGGACAGGCATGGAGCCTAACAGTGAGCAGAGAGGAACGTTCTCTACTTTGGACCTGTGCAAGCAGGGGTCTCATGAAACCTGACTGCACATCAGAATCATCCAGGGAGCTCAATACAGCCCCAGAGGCCACCCTGACACTGATATTTAAAAAGGCTCCCTAAGTAATTTCCACTGGACTAGTTTAAAGAGTAATTTCCATGAGCAATCATGATCGAGACCCACTCCTGCAGTAATCCAAAGGTATTAAATGACAATTCAAGCACAGAGATTTCTGAAATTCATAAAGTTTCTACTTTACAGCAACTTCTTTGTGTGTGTGAAATTAAGCTAAAACGCTGATATATTTCCTATAAAGTAAGTTTAAAGTGTAAGGTCAGTTCACAAAAGAAACTCTAAATTTATGGGTTCTTTTGCTAACTCAACCCTAGATTAGAAAAAAAAATGTTCTCTAAATCTTAGACTTTTAGATTTTAGAAATAACTCCTCCTCTTTAGCCAAGTCATTCAACCACCATGTAAACGAATCAACTATGTGCAGGGACTGTGACAGGAGCTGGGAGGGGTTACGAAGAGGGAACACACTGCTGCTGCAGAGAGCGGGAGACCGAGGACTGGAAACACGCGCACAAGCCAAGCCTGAGCGCAGGCAGAACGCGCGCGGGCAGAGACACAGCAAACCACTGTGGGGGTGGAGAGAAGCGAGAGCTTTTCAAGTTTTCCCAGAGGCCGGGAGAAAACAGGACGAAAACACAGCTAAGGCTCTATTAAGAATGTGACCACTGTAGTTGACTCTGAAGAACAGATAAGACACTTTACTTTAATGGTTTTATTCCCTTCCACTAAAAAAAGTAACACATGTTCACTGTTTAAAAAAAAAAAAAAATTTACAAGTTTTTGGCAAGAAAAAAAGTCTCTTCTGCCTGCCCTTCCCCTACTGGTTCCAGAAATAACTGTTCAGAATTTTTGATTTCAAGGGGAAGGAGGTGATGTGAGAAGGAAGGCAGAGGCAGAAATGGCAGAGATATGTCAAGGCAACAATGCATGGAGACTGGAACAAGGTTGGGAAGATGATGCAAAAGTCAAGAGGGCAGTCTACTTAAATAGGCCAGATGAGGCCCTATTGTGGGATGCCTTCAAAGCCAGAGTGGAGAGGCTGTGCTTCCACCCCCACATTAACACTTGAGACTGTTTAAACTAGTCCAAATACTGTGTAACCAAAGGGTGTGCCGTCCTTCTTAAAAATCTTGCCATGTGAGTTACCCCCTTGTTTTTTTTCTCTTATATACACTTCTGCCAAAGGAGCAGGCATTCATGTAGCTAGCCTTTGGGTTTCTTTGACAGTCCACTTTATGCAGGCAGTAAGCTACTATTTCATTCCCTCATTTAATCTTCACAACAACCACACAAAGTAGGAAATATTACGGACCATCTTACTGATAAGAGCCTTAGAGAAGTTGCCTGAAATCAGACAGCTATTATGCAGAAGAGGATTATGAAACCAGGGCAACTGATTCCAGATACCAAATCTAAACAATCTCAGAGCAGAGAGGTACCTGATAAACCAAATAGGACCATACTGACACCACCACCTACAACAATCTACAGTTTTTCCCAAGATTGCTCCTGTAAAAGACTCATTTGACACACAGTGCCTAACCCCTGTGGGATTATTCCAGTAAAGGAGTAATGGGAGTTTCCTAAAGCAGTTCCAAATTCACCTATTAAATTGTGAATTAAATATTGAAGGGCAGAGGCAGTGAAGTGAGTACCTAACATGCCAGAGGTGAAACCTGTCCCCCAAAACAGGTCTGGTATAAACCTGAGGGTGTTACATGTCGTCATGTTTCAAGTTATATATTTTAGCTGCTATAACCACACAATATCAGTTGTCAATTAAAGGCTACCTCAGACTTACCAGTTGCTTCTTCATCAAAGCAAGCAAAAGCATTTCTGATGACATCTTCTGGATCTGTGCCATTTAACTTTTCACCAAACATCGTGAGAAACATGGTAAAATTTATGGGACCTGGAGCCTCATTCATCATGGCATCCAGATACTCATCAGTTGGATTTTTTCCTAAACAAAAACAGAGGGTCATAATTTTAATCACATCACAAAATGCATCATGGTAAACATTTTGACATGACAGACGATCATTTATACAGTTTGCTATTTGTGTTCAAGATAGTAAAACTATTTGGAAAAAAGTCTTCTCGAGGAAAAGGGTCTGTAATTAAGAGTCTGGAGACTATGCTATTTCGCTGGGATGTCAGGAGGAGTAACACTGCTTTCATAATCACGATCAGAGTTTGCAGCACACGCACACACGCGCACACACACACAAACACAGCTGGTCTCCAGCCTGATTCTGAGACTTGGCTACAAATCTGCAGGTGGTCCAAGGACCTTACTTTGGGAAACAATGCTCCAGATTTTGAATCTCAGTGAACTGTAACATCACTAGATTGGCTTCACAAAACTTTTAAGACTTCAGAAATAAATAGAAAAGGTTGTTCTAGAAATTGTTTGATTTATTAATATTAAAACTGATCATTACCCAGGGAAGCAAGCATGTCATGCAAGTCTTCCTTGTCGATGAACCCGTCCCTGTTCTGGTCGATCATGTTAAAGGCCTCCTTAAACTCCTGAATCTGGGACTGGTCAAACATGGCGAACACGTTGGAGGTCGCGCGCTGGGGGCGCTTCTTGGTGGTCTTGGTCTTTGCTCTTTTGCTCGACATGGTGGCAGTTAAATCCTAACAAAGAGGGGAAATACAAGAAATAGCAAAAACTAAATTGAACCAACCTTCCACAGATATTTGCATCACCGAGAGATGGGTTTAAAAACTATTTCACGGGACAGTGTCACTTGGCAAAAATCTGTCAACTAATTGATACCATTACTCAGAGGATCAATCTACAAAGAAAAAAACCAGACTTGTCTTTTGAACTCACTCATCCTTAGTAGCTGTGACGTTTGTTAAACTGTTACTAATTTCAAGTTCCAAATTACCACCAACATTAATTCAAAGCTCAGAGCATTATCAACAAGATTTCCTGTCCCCAGTACTACTGGACAGCTGATTAAGGACTGATAATAACTCAATCCATCAGCTTAATAACAACATAGAAAACAAGAAACAAACGACGTCAGGACGCTGGAGGAAAAGTGTTAGTTCTGTATCTCAGTGCTATGCAGTACTGACGAACATTTACTCATCTTCTAAGCCAAATCATCTGAAGTGATTAAGTCCTCTAAACAAAAATCAGAGCACAATACAAAATTTTTAAAGCAATTTAGTTTTTAAGAAGTTTTGGAAAACATTTTAAGAGATATGGAAACTACCTTTGCTCTCTAATAACCTAAATTTCTCCCCATAAAGCTTTTAAGTTGAAAATAAAAATAAAGTCTAATAATTCCCTTTCAACACTAAATCTTTGAGACTATAAACAATTTGTTTGAAGTTAAAAAATCCCACAGTCATTAGACAATAAAATTTTACCATACCATTCTTCAGAACCGAGGTGGCGAGGGCAGTCAGCAAAACCTCTAACCCACAAGACTAAGACACTGTAATCAGTTATATTCTCTCAAGCAGGTCTAAAATAGGCACTAGTGATTTCACACTCTGACCAGGACAACAGTTTTAAAGCTTACGTTCTGAAAACAACATTTAGCTATGATGTAGCAAAACACTATGCCCTTGCTCTAAAAATAAGTGTGTGGATTGCAAAGAATGAACTACCTAGATGTCAGGACTGCCAAGTGAACTTAGGACACAATGCTTCATGAGTTTTAAAACTTATTTCTTACATTCTTTCCTTGATTACACCACACCAGCCAAACTACATTCAATTATGGAAATAATTAGAAAAGCTCTGACTATGCCTGAAATTTTTTTTTTTTTTTAAAGCTTACTCTGTTCTCAGATTTTTAGAAGGAAATTCCAGAAAGGAGAGTCACAAATTCCAATTCATCAAATATAGCACTCCTGCCATGCACTGGAATGTGCTGCTGGTAAGCCATACCCTACTTGATGTAGAAGTTAGGATGTATGCTCCTCCCTGGTTTCCAAGTTTCCTTTAATTACTCTTTCGTGATATTTTCATTTTATAACATCTCTGGACGCAGCAAATCCCTTTATTATCTAAACTACAGAGAGCTGTATGTAATTCCCCCCTCTAGCCTAAATGTAGTTTTAAAACAAGTAATTACAGCATATATTATTTCTTCCTCTCCTAAATGGACTCTAGGACTTGAGTTAGTGGTTAAGATGCAATGAGTGGCACATATTTACCAGTCCACATCTCTTTAGTATTTTAGGTATGTCCCTGTCTTTGCAAAACAAAGCATGTGTTTAAAAATAGTCTGTTTTGTTTGACAACATTGTATCACCCTAACTATGCACAAATATCAGTTGTTTTAAGAACAAAAACAGATGAAAAAGACAGGTCAAGTGGTTGATAAGAACTGATTTTTTAACCCCACAAGACCTCATAATACTGAATTTAGTATCCTTTCTCTAGGTACTTTTTAAAAATACTTCCGTTAGATTATAAAGTAACACACACACTTTCATTCTAGAATTTTGATACATTTCCTATTTAGTCTTTCTTTTAATCACACCTTTAATTAAAATCAGTCATTTTAATCATGCATTCTTTAAATAAGTAAATACATTACAAGATATTTTGAAGTTATAAAGGTATTTTGGGGGTCAGCACTGACAATGCCCTCAGTTTTTCTTTAGCTCATCTGATCCTTAATTATTAACCATTAACATGATCAGCAGAATTACATTTATGTGCATCATACATCATGAATGCTGATTATCATTTAAGAATTAAGAAATGTTAAGGTAGGTGTGCTCTCTTTGAGGAACTTAAATATAGTTGGGGAGGCAACTGTGAAGAAATGAGATGATTGGTTCAACTTATGAAATGAGTTACATAGTTTTCATTCCAAAAGTATGACTCTCAAGTTAAAACAATGTGTAACAAAAATGAAAAATAACTCAAAGGTGGTACATGATTATCAAATACTATGAATTCAGAAAAGTTCTTTGTTTCTAAGTTTTTTCTGGGTGGGTGGGGGGAAGGGTGGGGGAAAGAACTTGAAAAACCCTAAAAGCTACAAGACATCCTTAGAATTAAGAAATTGAAATGTTAGTCTTAATCCTAACAAATTAGGGTAGTTAATGCTATCAAAATTTGGTAGTATAACACTGGGCAAGTTACTACATGGACCTTTACTTTTTCAAAGAGGTTGGATTCTGATCTGTGAGTTTATCTCCCACCAGAAATCTGGATCCTTTCAGTGATAGGGAGTTCAGCTTTGCTGTCAAGTTATTTCAAAACAAGTAAAAGCTGTTTTTTTTTCCCTTACCAAACTGAGAGTACGGGTAGAATTAACTCTGGCTCAGTCGTCCTACTCTTTGCGACCCCATGGACTGTAGCCCTCCAGGCTCCTCTGTCCATGGAATTCTCCAGGCAAGAATACTGGAGTGGTAGCCATTCCCTTCTCCAGGGAATCCCAACCCAGGGATGGAATTTGGATCTCCAGTATTGCTGGCAGCTTATTACCTGAACCACCCAACTCGGGTGGAGAGGGAGCCAAATGAGAAACAGTGCAATGATCTCAAGGAGCCAATCACTTTAGATACTGTCACTGTCCTCCTTGCTATGATTCAGGTATGCTGTCCACTTTTACTTTCCCCAAACAAGCCAGCCTGTAACTCTCTTCATATAACAAGCCTTCAGCAAATGCACAACTCTTATAGGCTAGGGAAAAATAAAACTGAAAATATTTTATACATCAACCTAAGGATTCTTTATGTACATTGAGAAGATTGCTACGCAGGCACCCATGGTTTCCAAGTTATGTTTTCACTCATCATAAGCTCAGTCTAGACTTTTGAAGCATTTAATGAAAGATCTTCGGTGTGAAGGGCTCTGTGTTGTATGGAACTTGAAAACCCTGAGACTTAGAGTCAACCTCTATGAAATTCACAAAGATTTCAGATGCATGAGAAAAAGTGAATGAAAACAATTCAAGGGCTGTTAAGGAAAATCAGTTTATAGAACCGAAGGAGTAAAACCTTGTCTTAATCAGGGAAGGGGAGTGCTGGTGGTAATGAATTTCTGGATTTATCCTTCTAGCTGGATCAAAGAGGAAAAGAATCATTCAGGGTTATGACAAAAGGACAGACACAAACTATGTCAGGAAAAAGTTAGGCTAGATTAAGTGATGGGAGAAATGGAAAATAAAGATCCTCAAAGAGGCTTTCCCCACACACCAAGGGCAACAAAAAGACTTTTCAGAATTTGTAGATACTCTGGTTTCATTTATAAAATGGGATTAACCCATACCAATATTGGCTTCCCCAGTGGTTCAGCGGTAAAGAATCTGCCTGCAATGCAGGAGACAGGGGAGATGTGGGATCAGTCCCTGGGTCGGGAAGATCCCCTGGAGGAGGAAATGGCAAATCACTCCAGTATTCTTGCCTGGAGAATTCCATCCTGAGGAGAGTGCACACACACGCACACAAATATTACTTTGAGGTTGCTAAGTCGCATCCCACTCTTTGCGACCCTATGGACTGTAGCCTGCCAGGCTCTTCTGTCCATGGGATTTCCTAGGCAAGAATACTGGAGTGGGTTGCCCCGCCCTCCTCCTGGGGATCTTCCCGACCCAGGGATCGAACTCTCGGCTATTACGTTTCCTGCATCAGCGGCTGGGTTCTTTACCACTAGCGCCTCCTGGGAAGCCCAGAATACTCTAGTTAGAATTCTAGAGTCCAGCATTTATAGTGGTAATAAATGTTAACTAATCTGAAGACTTTCTACAGAACACTCAAATTGATAGTATTCTGGAAGTATATGTTCTTTAATGAAAAACTCCCATCTTAGGAAACACTTCCTAATGTGATGGCACATAACATCTACTTTCCAATCCAGACCAAATCTACTGTCTCATTTAATAAATGTATTTTTTTTTTACAAGCTAAGTTGATATACTTTTTTGGTGCTAACCACAGTTTTTGAAAAGTACATTTTCAGGCTGGTGTTTCCGTTCCAGCTTAACCAAGTTTTCAATTCCTAAGCAAACTTCCGGTGGAAGGTAGGATTAGTCCTCTAAGACTGCCACACCCAAAAAGTTCTCAGCACTTGACAAAGGCAATTCGCTGTCGAGGTTCACAAGCCTGTAAAGCCTCACATTTTAAAGTTTTTCTTGCTGGGTTTTCATCAAAAGCCTTCCAGAACAATGAAACAAAGACTGTAATTTTAAGAATCACTCATTTTCTCCACCTTTAGATGTACAACTTTCTGCACTTAAGTTAAAATCTCAACACTTATTTGTTTCAAAGTTCTGTAAAGAAATGATACACTCTTTGATAAACCAATTCAGATACTTTGAAAGTAAACACTTTGAGAGACGGACTTAACTCGGAGGCTCCACTCCAGAATAACAGGGAGTTTTTTGGGAGTTTTCCTGAAGCCTCAAACTAAACCCCAAACTCGTTTGTCCAACTATCACTTTAAAAAAAAAATCAAAACACTCCAGTTACAAAAGTGGATACTCAGCTGAAATTGCGAATTTGAGGTGGTTATTCCCACTAAACGTAGCCATACAGCTGCAATAACAGCTGCAGGGGGCGGGCGTCCGGGGACCGCACCAGGCTACAGTTTTTGCGCAAACTCTCTGGAATTGGGCAAGTTTACGTTAGAAACTAAACTTAGTCCCAGCGTCAGCTCCGCGGGGCTCGGGTTTCGCAGGCAGGCTGCCGCCCAAGCTCGCGGCGCCAGCAGGCTAAACCACACTTCCCGAGCTCCAAGTTTGGGCAGAGGAGCGAAGCTGGCGTCCGGGCCAGTTCCGGCCGCGGCACTGGACGCGGGAGCGGCCCGTGGGCTCGAAACCCAGGAACCCGCACGCACACCTGCCCAGGTGCGCCCCCGGCAGCGCTGCTAACCACTCCGCCAACCCCAGCCGCCCCGCGGGGATGCATCTCGGGACGGGCCTCCCGCGGCCGACCGCGAGCACCACTCACCCTAACTCTGCCGCGAGAATCCGAGAGCTTCTGGAACCTCCTCGCTGCCTCAGCTGCCGCTACCAACTCCCTTCCACTCCCAGAGACGGTACAAACCGACACTTCCGGCCTTCGCTTAGCGGACCGGAAGGAAGGGAGTCACCATTCTCGGCTAACAGTGCGAGCCTGGCAGGGCGACGGGACAGGGGAGTTGCCGATGTGCTCAGAGGGCGCAGTTTTGACCGAGTGCAAGGGAAGGACGTGTCGAGCGGCCAGCTTAGAACACAGTAGAAAGGGTAGTGATTCTCTAGGTCTGATTACTGAGTTTCCGTCTTTTTTACACCTCGTCTTACAGTGTAAACTGTTTCACCCCCCCTTCCTGTTTGCAAATGGTTGAGTCTATCTTGTGGGTCTGCCCCTCCGCGCATTCCAGGGCCCGGCCGGGGGCGGGGCTCGGCGACCCAAGTCCTTATAGGGAAATCGCGGAGAGGGCTTCGAGGCCCACGTGACTGACCTTCGCCCCACCCCGAGAGCCCCGCCCGAGCCGCCGAGCGGCTCTGCGCATGCGCATGGGTCTCTCGTCAGCTTGAGGGAGGAGGCTGGGGTCTGCGCCTGCAGGTCGCCATGCTGTATGTGTACCCCGAGAGGATGACTCTCGGCAAGAGACTTGATCTCTTGGCCCGGTGTTGTGTTATGACGAATCACTCCCCTCCCTACGGAAACAAACAGTGTTTAGTCCCGAGGGCCCTCAGCCTATTTTCGACCCAGAAGGAGTTCTTCAGGCGGGGGGCGGCCGAAGACATTCTCCCTCTTCAGAAACGTTCGCGGTTATGTTTCCCCGGGGAGTCCCTCAAGCCCCAGAACAAGGAGAGCCTGGCCGCGTCCAGCTCGGAAGGCAGCCCGCAACCCACAGCGACGGGGTCCCCAACCTAGCCCCCTACTCTCACTGGTGCCGACCAGCGCCCCGTGAAGAGGACAGGAAGTCGGGCCTGTTGTGCTCAGCTCTCTGGCCTCAGGGCCGCCTGGCCGGGGCATCTCGTAGAAGGAAAATCCTCCCTACCCTGAGGGAGACTGTGCTGCCAGTCTCCGCTGAGGAGGGTGGTCCCCGCAGGGGAGGGCTGCTCCGAGTTACGTGCCTCGTCTGGCTCCCTTGGCCGGAACGTTTCTGGGGTTTGGAGCCGCTCTCACTCCAGTCATCCTGCTGACGAGGAAGGTAAAGTTGCCGGATAATGTACTCGCAGTAGGAATCAGCTGCACCGTCGGGAACCTCAGGAACATTCCATTTGTTAACCAGTAGTCTGTTCCCAAGTTCACTTAGAGGTAAAGTCACTGAGAGATACTTTACTGTCCTAATCCTACAGCAGGACTGAAACGAAGATAGTTCGTTTACCAAACCGCTTCCAATAGTGAGAATCACTCGGGGTACGAGGGAAAAATACTCAGTATTGGGGGTCTCACCTCCAACCCGCTGAATCAGCCTTCTAGGTCAGGTCCTGGGAAGCCATCATTAAGAGGGTCCTAAGTGACTCTCAGCCCAACGGTGGGGACGCAGAGCGAGGACAGGTTAGGTTCTAAGATGAGAGAGTGACGGCACAAACTCCAGATGGTTGAACCGGGGTGGGGGCCGCGGGGACAGGGAGATGCAGAGGGTTCGTGGAGCCTGGCTGCCCGCGGGGCGAGCCGACTGCTGTGCACACACCTACATCTGTCACTAGGGGGCGCTGGAGTTTCCACTGCTGTCCTTAAGGGAGAAAACATCCCCAAAGAGGACATGGGCTGTTGAGTTTTCACGCTCAGAGCGACAGGGAGCAGCAACAGTTTTTTTTTTTTTTTTTCACAGACTTTTAATTTTGAAATAATCTTAGATTTTCAGAAAAGTTGCAAAGATAGTACAGAGTTCTCATATACCCTGTGCCCATCTTCCACTAATGTTAAATAACGATGGCACCTTTGCCAAAACTAAGAAATTGACAATGGTATCAAACTATTGCTTAAAGGACACAGTTTAGTCAGGTTTCACCACTTTTCCCATTAACGGCTTTTTTTTTCTGATCTAGGATCCAATTTGGTTTACCCGGAGCAACAGTCTTCTGCTTCTACGTTGTAACTGAGTCGCTGTCATATCTGACCCTGTAGACTGTAGGCAGCCAGGTTCCTCTGTCCTCCACTATCTTACGGAGTTTGCTCAAATTCCTGTCCATTGAATTAGTGATGCTCTTTAACCATCTCATCCTCTGCACACACACCACACCACCCCCCCCTTTTCTTTGCTTTTATAGTATCAGAAAATTGCTTTGCCTGTCTGCTTTTCTGTACTTGTAAGGCATAGTTCGGGCGAGGCAGAAAAGGAAAGAGGACCTCAACAGAAGTAGGTTACCTTTATTCAGGCAAGGAGGGGCGACAGTTGGCCTAATGACCAGGCTGAACAGCCAAGAGGGATCAGGGAGGCTTCATACTTATAGGGAGGTTTGTGGAAGCGATAAGGGAAACATCAATCAGGCGGGATATTTTGAGTATTCTTTTGTTGAGATGACATTTGTAGTTGGGTAGGGGGTGATAAGTCTTCTGGGTGGGTGTAGGGGGTGGTAGGTTTCCAGACAGGGGGTGATAAGTCCCAGATAGATGCAAACGGCCTGGAGCATCAGGGTGGAACTAAAGTTATACTTTGTTTTCTCCGAAGTTAGATGATTCAGCAAGGGGCCTTTGAGACTGTTGTTCTCTTTTCTAGGCCCAAAAGACTCCTTCATTCCAGACCCTGAAATCATAAAAAAATTGGGTAAAGGGTGCCGTATCTCTCTGGCTACTTTGTTTTCTCTGAAGTTAGATGATTCAGTAAGGGCCCTTTGAGACTGTTGTTCTCTTTTCTAGGCCCAAAAGACTCCTTTATTCCAGACCCTGAAATCATAAAAAAATCATAAAAAATGGGGTAAAGGGCGCTGTATCTCTCTGGCTACTTCCTGCTGGATAGGGGCAATGGTTTTGGGTCTGGAATGGAGGATCGCCCTAGGACCCATGGTCTCTTTTTTCTGAGCTTGAGGTGAGGCTCTCGAGAAGAAGAATGGTCTTGACCTGATCTCGAGAGATGGCCCGAATCCGTTCTTGGAGAAACCTTTGTAAGAGAGTGAAGAGACAGGGTCCAAATAAGAGGAATAGAATGATAAGTATCAATGGTCCCAGGAAAGGGAGCAACCAAGGGAGGATCTGTTGGAACAGGTTTTGGGGAGTGTAAAGGTTTTGTAACTCTTTTCTGGGGCGGTCAGTTCTGTCTCAGTTCTTTGACTCTGCCCTGGACTATACCTGTTTCATTAACAAAATAGCAGCAGTCCTCTCCTAGGAAAAGGCAGGTCCCTCCCTTTTCTGCGGTGAGATGGTCCAGGGCTCACCTATTTTGTAGGGCCACAGAAGCTAATGAGTTAATTTGGTTTTGGATTGAAACAAAGGACTCCACTACCTGCTCCATGTCCTCATTAAGTTCTTGGGACAACTTGTAGTAGAAATGGGCAGAGGTCGAGATGACTCCAATCCCGGTTCCTAGGGCTGCTGCTATGCTAGTCCCAATCAGGAGTGGGGCTATGACAGCTTGTCTTTTCCTGTGGGAAAGTTCCCCTTGGGGGTAGACTATTCCTTCTACTGCTTCATCTTTGAGGAATGTTAGGCCCGGGGTCAGGAAGACCAAGATGCAGGGTCCAGGGGGGTCTCTAAGTGGAGGCATGAATATGCATAGGTCCCACAGAGAATGAAGATTCCCGGATTGGTGCAATTATTTGTGCTGTTCCAGAGAACCCAAGTGGAACAGAAGGAGGGAGTGGAGTTTGTAAGACCAGTGTAGTTGGGACTAGAGTAGTCAATACAGGTTAGGTTTGAAGAGGCTGAGAGTAGGACATTGTCAGAGACTGGCCCAATGAGTTGTGTGGTTTTCTGTTGGGTCAGGGACTGGCTCTGTGTGGTGAGGGAGACAGTGACATGCCTATCCAACACTGGGATGTGTGTTGTGTGTGTTGGAAGAATTGGAAGGAAGAGTTGAGAAGGAGGGTAAGGTGTCGGTTGCCAGAGGGAGGTTTTAGGAGAGGCCGTAATTGGGAAAGGAGGTCTAGGTGTTTGTAAGACCCAGGGGTCACCTGTAACCGGGAAATTATGTTCTTTATGACTTGTTCTTGTTTCTTTTCCTGATTTTGATCTAGTACCCTGCCCCTGTCTGAGTACCCCCAGTGGGTAATCAGATAGAAACATACGTTTTTTCCATTTGGCTTATGGCAGATACTCACAAAACTCCCTCTCTTTCATACTTTGACAGTGAGTAGGGATTTGGACTTCCCGCCCCCGAGGTTCATGGTGCATGGTTTTGGAGCTGTATTATAACATGAGGAATGTACGTAGGAATAAATGTCTGAGCAGGGGCAGGGAGTAGCCAGAAGGCTGGGGAGTGCAGCAAGGATAAGGAACAGAGGAGTCATGGGACTGTTAGTTAGGCAGTACAGAGGAAATAGCACCCTAGGATTAGAACACAGCTAGCAACGTAGGCGATACCCACGGAAAGACGAAGGATAGGTGGCCAGCTTGAGGGGACACAGTTACTAGGCCTATTGCAAGGATTAAGATTAAGAGTGCAGTTATAGTTAGACAGGGAGAGGCCAGTCAGGGCGAGGGGCAGAAGGCCTCAAGTTGGTGGTGGTTTGAATCTGAGGAGGAACAGTGCTCATTAGGATGTAGAATGATGTAGAGAATGAGAGTAAAGAAATCGATTTAGTCTGGAGTCAGGTTGTAGAAGGTTCCCTGGAGCCACAGTTGAGACACCAGTGTAGTCAGGTCTTTGAAGAAGGTTCCTGTTGGGGCGCTGGTCCAGAGGTCTTGGAGTAGTTGCATCAGGAACAGTTGTAGGTTGAAGAGAGTCCAGGTCGTTCAGTGTCTTCTCAGATGGTTGACAGGGGTTGTCACCGGGTGAATTTTAAGGAGGTGGGTCCTGTGAGGGAGACCTGATAGGTGTCATTTAAGGAGGGCAGCGCAGGATTGGAGGTGACCTGTTTTAGACGAGAGAGGTGTACCCAGGAAATGACCTTCTCGAGTTTAGCTGCAGTTGGGGTAAGGAGGATGACTTTGAATGGTCCCTGCCACTTTGGGGTTAGGTCACCCTGGGGACTATCAGACAGATAGACCATGTCCCCAATTTGTAAAGGGGGCAGGGAGGCTTGGGGGTCAGGGGCAGGCAAATTGTGGTTGACGTATATCCAGAGGGCATTGTGGAGTTGCGCCAGCAGAGGGGAGTGTAGGAAGCTTGATCTGGGAGGAGGTTCAGCGGGGAGTCCAGGAGGGAGCGTGGGCCTTCCATACATCATTTCAAAAGGACTCAGCCCCAGGGGCTTTCTGGGCAAAGCCCGTATTCTGAGGAGAACAATTGGCAAAAGTTTAGTCCAGTCCAGATGTACCTCGAGGGTTAGTTTGGTAAGGGTTTCTTTGATTATTCTATTCATCCTTTCTACCTTTCCTGAGGACTGGGGACAGTATGGAATGTGAAATTTCCAGGGTACCTTTAAGAATTGGACAAGTTGTTGGGTGACCTTGGATGTAAATTCCGGGCCATCAGACTGTAGAGATGAAGGCAGGCCAAACCTGGGGATAATTTCTGTGAGGAGAATTTGGGCCACAGTGTGGGCTCTTTTGTTTGTAGTGGGAAATGCTTCTACCCATCCTGAAAAGGTGTCCACAAGGACTAGAAGATATCTGACTCTCCGAACCCGGGGCATATGAGTAAAGTCTATCTGCCAATGCTGTGCTGGGAGGCTGCCTCGCATTTGATGGGTTGGAAAGGATGTCGGTTTAAGGTTGGAATTGGGGTTAGTACGTTGACATGTTTGACAGGAGTGGGTAAGGTTATCTAAATATTGTTGGTCAGCATTGGATATGGGGACGTGGTTATGGAGGAACTGTTGGAGTGT